ATAGGTTTATCAGGGTCACAGTACAGTAAGCTGATGACGTCTAAGCACAATCAAATAGGTTTTTCTCTGTGGCATTACTGCTCCGGAACAATCCACGATTGCCTTCGACCAGTTTTTCCTTCGAAATGGGAAGTTGAGTCACACTAACTCAATCAGGGTTTCTTCTAACCTCAGCTTTTATTCATCTTATAGGTACTCGTCTTATCGCACGACAGTGAAACTAGTTTCCTATACCTTTGATACATTCTTTTCTAATAATCTATTTATTTTTATTTATCCTTGAGTTAGTTTTGCTTCACCAATTTTACTTAATCCGTACTCTCTATTTCTTTTCTCTCTCACCTCTCTTTCATCGCATTTTATGATTTTTACCTAGTCGGAGAGACCTCTTCGGGTAAGAGTGCTATAGGAACTGCTGTACTCCTCTCTAATACAACAATTGCGGCTAGCGGGGCCGTCTCCGAGATCGCACGTGCCCGAAATGCTGCCATTGAGCGTGGCGAGCGTCTGGCTCAGCTTGATCTACAGACCCAAGAAATGGCTGAGCAAGCTAGGACTTTCGGCAAGACGGCCAGTCAGTTGGCCAGCAAATTTGAGAAACGCAACAAACGTCTGGGCATGCTGTTTTGAGAGACATTCCGTATCACTCTTGGCCGTCCTCATTCTCATAAACTCGCCATTTACAAGCTCCCGCTTGTTCAAAATTTCACCCTTACTTTTCTGACCACTTACAGCACATTGAGTCCAATATTATTAGCCTCATAGGACCTAATTGCTAATTTGGCTTCTATTTCTTGACCTGCCTATTTTGACCCAAATTAACTGATAGGGGAAGGGCAGGCAAATTGATAATCAGATCCATAAATAGGCCTTGATTTTATTTAGCTAAATGAATGGCTAAATATATGAATTTTTAAGCATTCTTTTCAACGCCAAGCAAAAAGGTTAAGGTATTCATAAATTACTGATGATATACTCTTTTCTTTTGTGACTATCGCCGTTTGGCAGAGTCTTTTATCTTCCTGCTGATCATACTGCTGCCTACCTCCCACTTTTCGGCCATCGTTTACCTTAGGGCAATTTTATCTAGAGCATAACTTTGTTGTTCTATCCATACCCCCGATATTGTCTTCGTATTCTTCCATAGTTAACCTCTTCACTCTGGCCAACTACTGATCGTTAGATAAAAACGTTTATACTCATAATTA